GAATCCTCTCACCCTCTGCATCTCTGGCCTGTACCCCAGTTCTGTATGAATAAATAAATCTTTAAAAAAAAAATTCACTAACTGAAGAGAAGGACTATAATTGATACAAACTTCAATTATACATTATGCCATAGTGCAAGAGAAAGTTAACAGGGTAAGTAAAGAATGGGGGAGTCTGGAAGAAAATGCATACAACGAACTAACACAGTTAGGTATGAAGACCATACATATGCCATGCTCGTATGGCATACATACCACACATCTGACTTTGGGACATAGTATCTACTTTATCAGCATTTTAATATACAGACACTGTAAAATAAACCTTCATTAAAAAAAACTAAAATGTGAAAATTTACATGTCTGAAACAATAATATGTAACACAATACACTCTATAAGACAAAAATCACTATCATTTAGGAGACTGTCACAAGGCACAAGCAGAACAGAGTTCCATCTTCTGAGGTAACAAATGGTTACTACAGATCTAAAGCTGTGTGACCTTTTTTTCAATTGCAGGTATTAACACACATCTTGTCTTTTGTCTCATATGCATGAATGTTTGCATTAAAGAAAACAAGGTTTGAATCTCTACAACCTGTGTAAAGTTACTAACTTCTCTGAGAATCATTCTCTTCATCTGTAAAATGGGATTTCCACCTCAAGAGAATTGTATGAGAATTAAATGTAATAATTTACTTAAGAAACATAAAGTAGGGCCTCCCCAGTAGCACAGGGGTTAAAGTCTCAGAACAATCAAGCCTGAGCTGGATCCTTGGTCACAGCTGACCCACATGGTGCAGCAGACACCTCTACCTCTCCTGTCTCAGCTGTTGCTCCCCTCAGCAGTGGATCTGACATACTAAAGTTCCTCCCACAATCTCTGTGTCCAATGAAATTAAACTAAAAACTAGAACCTGTTCTTGACTTTCAAGATTCCCACTCTCCATATGACATTGGAATAAATATGTAATATTTATGTATATGTAATCCTAAAACAAATCCTACTAGTTTGCTTTGGAAGAACTTTTTAATAAGAAAAGTTTATTTTCTCAAAACTTGTCTTTTTATGAAACTGGGAACAGAAAATGATGACAAACTTTAAGTGTTTAAATTCAGTTAGTTACATGTGAAGTCAGCACTTTTATACTTTGTACTACTGAAATGACACCCTAAGACCCAACTCACTTAAAAGAGGAACTACAGAGTCAGAAGGAAGGATGTAAAGCAAAGACATGATTAAAATGACTGAATTCTATGAGTGTCTTGGTCATTTAATGAGCTCTAAAAATAAACAGTATTTAGAAGAGGTGGACCCTCTTCTAAACATGATCCAGAGTGCTTTAGCAAACCTGATCCATCAGATTAACAAATGGCATCTTTCAGTATGCCAGCTTCTGGATGTTTCCACCAGTAACAACCCAGTCATTTCCAAAACAGGAACATGCCTACAAAAGTGCCCCAAATGCAGTAAGCACTGAAATAATCTTCACTTTTATTCCAAACATACTTTAAACTAGTTTACCCATATATTTCCTCACTGATTAACTGATTTACAGGTGGATGGCTTTACCTGCTAATTATAAAATGTTCTTTTTTTATTAAACTTGGGAAAAATGCAAAAGTCATGAGCACTTTTGAAACCTATGATGCTACCAGCCAAAGGTTAAAAATATTTTTAAAGAACATATAACATCTTTCCTATGAATTTGATCATAACTGTGACCACACCAAATATGTACAGAGCATTTGCCATTAGACACAATTAACTACCAGCCTACAGCTTAATATCTTTCTTCTGGTTTTCTTTAGTTTAAATTTACATTTACTTTTTCCTTTATAATTCAACAGTTTCTTCACAACCTGAGAGGAAAGACTCTTACTGAGTCTTTCTGCTACATATTTTACTGCTGACTACTTCCTCTTAAAACTCTTCCTTTCCTGTTTCCCTAAACAGTAGTATATTTCTCATTGCCTACAAAAGTCTCTTCAACTAATCTATCTCACTTTCCTCAATGGCTCTCTTCAGTTAACTCCTGACATTCTGAAAAATGGCTCCGATCTGATCTTTGAATTTTATTACCAACTTTGAGTCTCTGCACTTAAGACAGCCAAGCATGAAGCAGATGTTCAATTGAAGTTTAATGAATGACTTCACCAATCCTGACCTGCCACTTACCAGTTTGTGTAAGTGAATCTTAAACAACTTAAATCTTTCTGAATCTCAGTTCTCCAATCTATAAAACAAGGCCAATCAAAAAATACTTGGAAAGCTCAAAACAGTGTCCAGCACAAGTAATATCTAACAAATTTGCTATTATAATCAACATAACCTAGTACAGCACTAAAAAATGTTTCTGATCTATATGGTTGAACACCAAATTAACCTCTTAATAACCCAATTTCTTTCATTCTATTCTCTCATCATAACTATCACAAATTAGTTTTGTGCTCTTTCCCTTACTAGCTCTAACTCCTTTTTCCTAGCCACCACACAGACATCTTTTATCAACTAAGCTATAACAGACTTTCAAATCCTTAAATATTCATTCAAATCTTCAGTCCTCCTTAGGAAAACATGTTTAATCTGTTGCTATTGTACATAGTTGCTTAGAATGTGCCCAAAATACTGTAATGTTACCCTCATGCCTTCCAATAAAACCTACCACAATCTCTCAGTTAAAAAGACAGCTTAACCATGGGGATTACAACTGAGATGGAAAAAGGCACAAAGTGATGCAAAAATAAACTATTAGATTAAAAATTTTTTTAAAAAGACAGCTTAAAGTTCACCTCTTCCAGGAAACCTTCCTTGATTAACTCAATGAGGATTAGTTCTCTGCTCCGACTCAGCTCAGCACCTCAGTACTTAGATATTCTATCATAGTAGGGATAAAATGTGATCAACAAATTGCATTAGCAAGAATTTATTCTCAGAAAATTATTTCTATATTCTAGAAGATGGTCCATTAGCTAGAACATCTTATTAGTCCAGTTACTAGGGAGACATTATTGGCACTATATTAGTTTGTTTCTCAGGAAGTACTTAACCGAAAATCCTTCTGTCCTATCAATTAGAAGGCCTATCACAGGAAGGCAGTAGCAGTGAGAGATGATACACCACATCTTCCTTTCTCTGAGTGAAAAGAACTTTGAATCTATTCAGCTACAAAACATTTCCGAAGGTTGAAAAATTCCCCAACATACATGATGCATAATCAAATTCTACTAGATCAAAATAAGTTGGTCCTACAGAATGACAGGACAGTATTTATACGCTAGTTCTTGCTTGTGCTAACAGGTCTTGCATCAGTTTAATGCTACATTACATATGATCAAGACCAACAACATGGCTGAGAAACTCCTCTGTAGGGCAAATTTTTCTGAAAGTATCTTCTGATGCTGCTTTTAAAATAACACATTTTTTAAATACAAAGAATTAAGCGATTCCTCATTGTCATCCAATCAAAAGCAACAATACTCATGCCATTACTAGAGAGGGTGAGTTAGTGTGCTGCTGAGAAAAATAGGAGGAACTGTCAAGGGGGGTAGATGGGGGAGGAGAGAAGGGATCAGGGAGCGAGCCTCAGTAGTGGGAGTTAACAAGTCTGAGTGACCCTCGATGAGTAGCGAATACACCTATGAACCTAGCTGACTAACTTCAACCTGACCCATTCAGCGCTCCCGTCTCTGGAAAAAAAAAAATGGAGTACTTCTTACTCATAAAAGATCCACGCCCTTCAAGTTACCGTACCTAAGCCTACCTCGTTTATTCCGTGTACACTTTCTCCTAACTGGCCGCTTAACACCTAGTCAAGCAGCCTCCATCCACACCTCACCTTCTCTCAGTCACCTTCCGGTATCAATAGGTGCCTCTAATTCCAGATTCACGAGTCCCAAAGCGTACAGAGACTTTAACCTTCAAAACCCAGGCTAGTCCTCCCTTCACTCTCAGATTTCCACCCGCCCTCATCAATACCTACTTCCAAGATGCCAATCACATTCCCGGGTTCCGCACCTTCAGCCCGGCACCCTTTTCTAAGCATCCCCCGGTGCCCATCACTTTCCTCCTCTCTCCAGATCCGCAATCTTTCAATCACAGGCTGCTTTTAGCTGCTACTCTCAAACACGCGAGCCTGCTCTCCGTTAACTACCCCGCCCCACCTTAGCCACCACAACGCGGCCTCCCCACCCCAAGCGGCGCCCCCAGGCTCATCGGCTGCAAGCCAGGCCCCTTCCGCACACCTCCACCAGTGGTCCCGGCCCTCCGGAGGGCAGCGACCCGGCCCAGCGGCGCAGAGACCACCTGTACTGAAGGCGGAGCCCCAGTTCTGGGCGGCCGAGGGTGGGGGCGGGGGCGGGGCGGCGGTGTAGCCCGGGCCTCGGCCCAACCAGCCGCCCCGGTCCCGCAGTCGCAGCCCTAGCCAGCAGCCTGGCCTCTCCGCCCCGCACCTCTGTCTCTCACCTAGATGCAGAGGCTACGGCCTCGCTTTCTCCCAGATTGTCCAGCGATGGCTCCGCCACAGCCGTCGCGCTCTCCTCACTCGTTCTTCCACCGCCCCCGACCGGCTGCTGAAGAGCGGACGGACAGCGGCACGCCCATTGGCCGCCGCCAGCAGTCGCGTCAGCGAGCTCCAACCCTCACCTCGGGAATTGACTGGCTGGCGCGGAGCCTCTTTTCCACGTCTTGTCCTGATTGGCTGTATCGTGCCCTCTTACAGCAGGACCGCTCTCCCTCCGCCTGGTTCTGCCTCCCACCCGCCCAAACCCCGTTTCCATCCGGGAGGGGGGCGAGAGGGGCGGGAGCGGGCGCGGGTGAGACGCGCACGACCAATGGGAGAGCTGAGAAAGGATCGACGGGATGGGCTTTGCGGTCGGCCGGCCCGCGGGGGAAAGTTCAGCCAATGGGCGCGTACCTCTCATTTTGGGCTCAGGAGCGCCTCCGCTGGCTGTTCGCGTTGCGGCGGGTCGCGCCCAAGACCACGCCCGGCTGCCCTTGCCGCTGCGGGGCTCCGGCTGCGGCTGCAAAGGTGAGGAAGCTGTGGTGAGATGGCGAGACTCTCCCTCGGGCACACATTGTGGCGTGCCCGGCGCAGCCTACGTGAGGCCCCGCGCGCTTTTTGGTGGGTCGGTGAGAGCTAAGCGGTCTCTCTAAGGACTATCTCCCGAAATCCGCTCCACCCTCACCTCCTCATCCCCGGGCAGCACCGCGGGTTACCCTTTAGCTTATAGCTCATCCGGCCCCAGAGGAATTTTGGACAAATCATTTTATTTTCCTCTTCCTGCAAATTAATTTCGCACAAAACTTATCTATGGTTTAAGTTAGAGTAATGGTTATCTCTGGGGGATGGACGGGGTAGGAACATAAGAGAACGTAATGGGAGATGGAAAAACTTGGTCTGGTTGATAGTTACAGAAGTTTGTACATAGGTAAAACTTCATAGAGCTATATATACACTTAAGATTAATTCACTCCACGTACTTTATGTATCCCAATTTTTTAAATAAAAAGAGAATTACAATGAGAATTACAATGTGATAGCATCTTCGTAATCTTAGTCTCCAAGAGACTTCCATGGTATAAATAATGCCACTTAGCTATCATTCAAAAACTACAAACGTAGAAGGGGGGGGGGGGATTGTGAGAATTAAAAGTGAATGCAAATTCCCGCCATAGTGAATTTACACAGAGGGCTTAGTACTTAAACGTTGGGCCAGAATGGCTCATAGTGTTTTCCTTTGGGGATTTAGATGTCCTTTCACAAAAACTTGCTAAACCCTGTTGGAAACTACAAACCTCCTCTGGAGGAACGCACAAACCAACTACAAGTAGTTATTTCTGTAGGAGGGCACAGAAGACAGTGCTAACAGCTGTGTACCGTCCTGGTTGACACTCCACTAGGTTAGGCAAAATGTGTGTCCAGAACCACTCTTAATGCAATTCAGAAATAGGTCAAGCAAAACACCTCTTAGAAATGGGTCAGTGATACTCCAAAACAAACAACCGTGGGCCGAATTCTGACCTGTGAAAAGGCAGCAGCAGCAAAACAATGATGACATTATTCGTGTTTATTACTCTAGACACTAAGTTCTTCCATTCAGGTAAGTATTTTGGTTGAAATCACTTGTTCCTGAACTAGGCACATAGGTTAGCTAAGATAGTATTTTTCATAGTGCGTAGGCTATAATGGGAAGAAAGACAAACATTTACAGTATAATACAGGATGAAGGGATATATATAAATATCTAACAGCCTAGACTTGTAATCATCTTCTCAGAAGATGGGGAGATAAGTTCATTACTGCCAAGGTTTGTCAGCACACTCCGCAATTATGAAATTTCTAAATAACACTTTTCATTATAATTTTTTAAATTTTATGAAAATGACTTGTAAACATAAATATATATATATAACAAAATAATGCTTAGTTCTGAGGAAAACACATGAAGAAATTAAGTAATTGCTTAATGAGCACATTATAATTTTCAAAGATAGTGTTCAGAACATAAAGGCATCTCACTTGATTCAAGTCAGTGACAAGGCAGTGTATCTCCACTGGAGACCTCAGGGAGGGAGGGTGCTTTCTGGAGGAAGATTTTAAAAGAATAATAAAAATTTACTCTCCAAAATCATGCAGTCTCATGGAGAGGGCATGTTGAATGACCAGAGAGTCCCTCATATTGCACTTTTACTCCTGTTAATTCCAAGAATTCTTTTATTTACAATAGTAATTAATAGTCTTCACAAAAGACACTGAATTACCCAAAAAAGTAATCATTTGTTCAAATTTTTTTTTCCATTTATCTTCAACAAGAGCCATGAAAATTGGGCTATTATACATTGGAATCAACCACATTGCTATTTTATTCAAATATGAAATACCTGTATGTGCTTCTAACTCTTGCTATAGAAACACAGCTCTATAAATGAAGGTAAGTAACCCCAAGTCAAAATGTACTGTTATGGTCTACAGTCTAAAGAGAAAATCCATATATTGCTGAGAAGATACATAGAAATAAATACCAGAAACATATGCTAAATATATGTAGTTACAATTATTTATGAATTCCTCAGAATTTTATAACTTCTTTAAAAATAGAAAACAAGTGAGACTAAGCATTAATTTTTTTATGCAAATAAAATCTCTCCCCACACTGAAGAAATACTTGTATGATACATATCATTTTCTGCCTCCTATAATTCTCTATCAGTAACTTATTAAACTTATTAAGTAATGAGGTTCTTCACTCTGTGCAAATTTTCATCTATTCATCTGAATTTCATAGAAGAGAAAATTGAGACTCAATGGGTCAAGTCATTTTGCCCAAAATCACACAGATATTAGATCGCAAAAAGGGACTGAAGTCTAGGTCTATTTGATGGTGAACTCCAATATCTTTCTACTTTGCTACATTTACCTCTAAAATAAGATCAAGTCATTTTACACCTTGTCCTTCTGTCTCTTTATTTCCCACAGTAAAAAGCACAGAATCTTACATGTATCCCTCAAGGAACTCAAGTTATTAATCATAATTTTCATCATGCTTTATCTTTACAGATTTTACAATAAGGGAAAGTATGACTATTTTAAAGGTAACTATTTCACATTAAAGATGTTTGGGAAAAATTACAGGAAATGCAACTTTAGCTGATGTGGAGACTGCATCAGTTATCAAGTATATATCTGAGAGCTCACTTTCATAATATAAAACTATTCAGGCAACTTTCTTCAAGAGAACCTAATTTTTGGTGATATCAATTATTTTCTGCAATTTACTTAGTGATCTCTACCTTGCCTTGTCCTCAATTCTGATATCCATAATTGCTCTAGTTTAAAGATACTTTTTAGGCCTCCCTGGTGGCCTAGGACTCAAGGCTCAGCACTACCACTGCAATGGCCCTTCTGCCACAAAGTCACCTGAGTTTGATCCCCATCCAAAGAGCTAACCCACATGGCACAGCAGACCTCTCATTTCTCGTGCTGCTCCTGTTAGCAGTATATTTCAGTGGATCTGATACAGGGGCAGCAAGGGGCACTAACCTCAGCCAAGGATATTGCTCAAACAGTTTATCAGTCACTGTCTTGAGTTCTTCACCCATGCACACAATTGCAAGGTACTCACACTCAGGAACAACCATGGGTTTATTTAACCAACCAGGGAAAAACAAAGAGTCACTTGGGCCAAAAATGGCTTTTACCTCGTCCTAAGCAGTGTTCAGTGTTTTCCATTCCTAAACAATAGTAGCTAGAATGGTGTCTTCCTGCCACCAAGCTGCCACCGATAACCTGGAGTCCTCTCCCAAACAATAGGTCACATGTCTAGATGGTGTCTTCCTGACTTGTAGCATGCAGCAGCCAGACCCTAGGCCCCACAAAGAAAACAGAAGACAATTGGACTCACAAAGACAACAGAAGACAACTGGAGGCACATCTGGAAGTTCTGGATGCCCCAGCACAGCATCAGACAAGTGATACTCAAGACAGCAGCTACAGCAGCTGGATGACCCAATGGAGGGCCACACTCAACACAAATCAGCAAGGTACCTGCTCAAGGTCTTTGCCAGCCCATAACTGCAGCAAAACCAGCATTAGTTTCAGTCACTTAGCTGATTGTAAAGCCTTTAAACTTTTCTGAGGCCCATACCTTCAAAGGACTGTAAGAGCCTTTTGGAAGATCAGCTAGGTGAGGACCTGCATCTGCTGACCCCAAATACTAAAGATCCAAAAACTTTAAATCCACACCCCTTTCTGCAGTCCCTTATACCTCTGATCTGTTGCCCCACCCTCAAATTTAGCATTTTCCCTAGGGCTATTTATGTTCCCCAGCAACCCCCTCCAGGAGGAACCATCTGTCACTGTCTTTGGGCTTCAGCCACCAGTTCCAGATCTGCCTGTTCTGCTCCCAACTCTGTCTCAGGTGAATACTATCTTCCCCACTCCTCTGGCCTGCACCCCAATTATTCTATGCAAAAATAAATACAAATCTTACAATAAGGAATAATTCTCTAAAAACAAGTTTTCATTAAACATTTTTAAACCTGTTATTAAAAAAGACATTCTTCCAAGTTTCTAACATTTCTACTAGTATATCAGTTGCCAGTCTGAACAATTACACACAAGTCCTGATCTTGATCTTCATTTCCTGATCTTTTTCCAAAAGAAGGGTCAAACTTAATGCCCAGTATCTGTTTCAGAGATCTTAAAGTAAGTTTGGTTTTAATTTTGGACATGAATCATCTGACACTCAGTTATTCAAAAGCTTTAGGTGGAACAAAAATGAAACTGATAGGTTCTTGGCTCTACTTATGTCTTAACTAGTGACTTTCTAGATCTTGAAAGGTTGCAGAATATGCACTCAAAAATATTAACACGTGGCTTATTTTGAGCTTACAACTTAAAAAACAGTAGATGTGGCCCTCCCTGGTGCAGCAGGTTAAAGCACAGCACTAAGAAGCTAAAACCACTTCAACATGAGTTCGATCCCTGCCCGGGAGGTGATCCACATAGCACAGCAGACCTCTCTTGACCTGCCCGCTGCTCCCCTCAACAGTGTACTTCATTGATCTGCCTATTC